TTAATGTTTTTATAAATGTCTTAACATTTGGAGCAAAACTGTTTTAAATGATGTCAAAGCAGATATCTTGACATCTGCCTCCTGAACTGATCTTAGCCCAACATCAGTTTAAGTTATATGTTCCTATTTTTATGTGTGGCATAATTCAGGATTTGTGACTCACAGGCTGCGAAAAATATGAAGGAATATTTTTCAAATTGCATGATTTTTATCTTAGCCTGTTTTTATGGAAATATTCAAAAGATTTGAATATTTGATTTTAAGCCCAAGCCCACAGTTATGCATATATAAGGACTTGCTTCCATATTCAAAGACAAGCAAATTTTGAAGAAGAATACTTTATTTCTGATTAGAAGTCTAGGCTTTTTATTTGTTATACACTATAAGTATTAGTTTAAATACTTGAGTTGTTATTTGGGTTGTTAATTGTGTATCATTCATAAGCTTTTAAGCATTGAATGATTGAAGTGTTTCAAACTTATTAATTGTGTTAAGTTCTTCACTGTAAGTGATTGAAGGGATTTGAGGATGGCCTCATACCTAGGTGAGTCTTAGGTAGAAGTTTAGCTTGGGTAGTGATTAAGTGATTAGATCGTAAACTGGTTATTTACAGAGGGTCTATGAATTGATACTATTTAGTGAACTTGTCCCTGGCTTGGTAGCCTCCAGAGTAGGTGTTGTTGTACACTGAACTGGGTGAACAATCTCTTGTGTTTTACTGATTTTTATTTTATTGCACCTTACTTGCAAACATATATTTGTGTCGTGACATCTCATTCGACATCACATATCTGATACCAGAATTTCACACATAAAAACAACAACATTGCAACAATTTACCACACTATGATGCCATAGTATCTCATCAAAACTCAAACTTATATATACTCAAAATTCTCATCAATGAAAGTGTCACAATACCTTATAAAATTCTCATCTCAATAATGTATTGACACCAATCCTCCTTAATTTAGTGCAACCTTTATACAATGGTGTCTCTGCATCTCTTACCAACCTCTCAAACATTTTTGGGTTTTCGACATGTTCAACAACAAACTTAACGAATTCTAAAACCCCATTCTCGTATTCTTTTGACAATCGATTGGAAGACATCCATTTTTTATCCATGGCTTTACTACTAAGTATCCTAAACAAAAACACTATAATTTATCACGTAGCTATAATAAAAGAACAACTAATTACCTGTAGAGAAGTCAGCAACTTCTGGAACTACACAGCATAAGATTGTGAAAGCGTCTATGATGAGGTTCACTTATTCAATTTCAAAAATGTTTAAAACAAAACGGGTTTTGAGTGTATCATGTAATATATTCATAAACCTCACTTTGTAAACACCTAAACTGAGATGCTGATCTTTTAGAAAGCCAAGCTATTGAATATCACAACTCACAATTTTATCTCTGGCCTAATAACAAAAGAAAAATAAAACCAACATCATTAATATTCTTAGCAAATATTTTTTCAATTTCATAAAAATTTTACATAATGAAAAGGTTGATATTTTTAATCAACCAAAGAAAATGGATGCTTTAAAAAGAACTTTGTGTTGATACAAAAGAGTGAAGTTGTTTTCAAATGGATGCATTATAAATAACTTTGAAGTTGATAAAAAGAACTTTTGCATATATTGTGTTTGGATTTATTGTAAACATGATTATGCCAGCTTCACAAATCAAGGACTCTGAACTATGCTGCCAAATCGATAGCAAGAAATGTTATTTAGAGCTCATAAAGTTTGCAGTATACAAATGCCAAAACTATGTTGCTATAATGTGATATAAAAAGTACCAATCCTATAATGTGCAATTTCTATTACCAGTTCTTTTACAGTCAACACAAACATGGACACAAAGAATCTAGATTCATGACAGCAAAACGAAATAAAAGTGTACAGTGAAATAATGATAGCTGTTTGTGTATGGTAGATATGTGACAAGGGAACATGTACTTACAGAATCACGCCTGCACAAACGAACTCCACGCCGCAGAATGGCGCCTGGAAAAATGACCTCCTGTAGCAGAATGACGGTTGTAGCAGTTGGAGAAAACTCCAAATCGTTGGAGAATCGTTGTTGGAGACCGACAATCAAAATTGCATTGAGAAACGTTATAAATAGGATTGAGTTTGGTTCGAAATTGTGTGCTATTGGATATCTGTTTTGAGAATGAAAACATGAGTTTTAGGGTTTTTGTTTTTTTTTATTAATTTAGAAATAAGACTTTAGGCAACGCTTTTAAGAAAGCGCTTTCTAAAGTAAGCCTTTAGCAGCGCTTTGGGCCTATAACAATGCTTCCTACTGTTGATCCTATAGCAGTGCTTTGAGTTTAGGAAGCACTTCTAGAATTTTTTTTCTTTCAATTTTATATGACCATATGCAGTGCTTTCATAAAGTGTTGCCTAAAGTGAGGCTTAGGCAGCACTTCTTCTTAAATTTAGCCAACACTTTCTTCTCAACTTTAGGCAGCGCTTCGAGTTTAGGCAACACTTCAATAATTTATATTTTTTTTTTCAATTTTAATGGACCTTAGGCAGCACTTTCAAACAAGTTCTTCCTAAAGTGAGGCTTAGGCAACGCTTCTTCTTAACTTTAGCCAGCGCTTTCTTCTCAACTTTAGGGAGCGCTTTCAGTTTAGGCAGCGCTTCAATAATTATTTATTTTTTTCAATTCTAATGGACCTTAAGCAGTACTTTCAAACAAGCGTTGCGAAAAGTCAGGCTTAGGCCGCGCTTTTTCTTAACTTTAGGCAGCGCTTTTTACCAAAGCACTGTCTAATATATATAATTTAAATTTTAAAATTTTATCGTGACATATAGCAGCGCTTTGATATACAAGCGTTGTCTAAAGTGCGTTGCCTAAGATCTGTTTTGGCGTAGTGTCTTTCTGCACACACAAAATAATATTCACTACAAATTGACTAATGATAGGTATAAATCAAAGATAAGAAAATAAGAATATATAAGATATCTAACTCTCAATATTTGCACTTCCAGTATTTTCTCCTAGGGTTTGCTCTGGACTTTGAAACAAATAACTTAATAAAGAGACCGTGTCCATATTTGGGAGTGATTCTTCCATTTGAAATCATGCTTGAGTTTGAGTTTGCTTCCATTCGCCTTGCATTCAAAGATGATGCAACAATGAAGATGACGATGGGTGTGAGGAGATGAACACGATACTCGATGAAACGATGAAGGTGATGGGTGAGAGGAGATGAAACGATGAAACAATGAGGTTTTACAAAGAAAATGTTTATGGAAGAAGATTATTCAATTAGGGTTAATGGAAGAACATGACACGGTAACAAAATTGGGTTAAAGTATTTTTAGCGATTTATCGGGGATCAATTAGGGAGATGTGTTAAAACTCAAAATTAACCATGCTACAATTGCCACCTGTCTTTTAATTTACTTAAAAATTATTAAAAAAAAAATCAAAATAACAAACATTTTGCTGGCTGAGTATGAGGAAGACTAAAAGCATGGAATCTTCATATGTTGAGGATGGAATCTAATTTTTTTTATAGGGAGATTTTTCAAAGTTCGCCGAAATGACAGGGGATATACATATTAACCCATAAGTAAATATAATAAAATAAGAACACCGTTTTAAAAGAAAAAAAAACATAAAAATTAGTTGTTGGGAATCAAAACATATCCTTTAAAGTCTTTTCCCTCGATTTTAAGCCCACCAAGGGAATACATAGCTTATATCACAGACAAAAAAGATTGTGAACATTAAGAAATAGCAATACATCTTCTTTTCATTGACCATTTTATTTTTGAGATGCAATATCTTCTAAGAATGTTTAGGAATAAGTTTTTCAATGTTGTCAACCAAAACAAGCAATAAATCATTGAATGCTTGTTTTGATGACAACATTGAGAAATTATTCCTAAAAAACTACTACAATAACAACATTAACCACGTAAACTAGAGATTGATTTAAGAGAAGAATATGAAGTTTGGAGGCAGAAAGATAAGCTTATAGAAAGAGTGAGAACATGGTGCTTTAAATAAAAATATAAATTAACCTTTTCTCTCAATTTTTTAAAAAAGAAACAAGGGAAAAAGTGTATTTACTTTTTATGTAAAAAAAAAAAGGTATGTGATATTATAATTATAAATAAAATATAAAATTCTAGTTGCAGAAAATCAAAATTTGTCATTGACGAATGTTTTCCCACGATTAATCTCAAAATCGAGGGAATAGGTGACATGTTTTTAAATAAAAATAAGACGTTATTTTAAGTGATTTTATCTCAGTTACTTTAATCATCAAAGTAATATTTTGATAAAAATATATTATTTATAGTAATGATGATCTTAAATAAATTATTAAAAATAAAATTAAAGGAGGAGATCTAACTCCCTTTGATAAAAAAATCCATTAAAGAAGACCTAAATCCATTGTCAAATTTACAATAATAAATATTCTTCTTAAAATTTTTTTTACTTTTCAAATTTTTTAATTTATACTCTCTATTCAATATCACATATCTCTTAAATCAATTTTTTTAATCTACATCTATGACAAAATCAGTGGGTTAAAATAAAAAATTTAAAATAAAATCCAAAACAATATTTTAGTCAAAATAAAGGAACATAATATTATTAGTATCCAAAATATTATTTTATTTCATTCTTTTTATATCATTTTATTCTTATTATTATTAGTATCCAAAATATTAACTTTCCTATTACAATATAGAAAAATAATAATAATAAATATTGACTGACTTACATTTATTTCTAAAACTGCAAAACTTTAATACAAAAGTAAAATAAATTTGACCCTACAAACAAAATCCACATCCAAAGATTAAACCAGAGTTAATAAAATCTGGTTTTTCCTCTCTCATTCCTTCTATAAATTCTTCTCACCAAACTTCATTTCTGACACAATCACTATCACTTATTAACTTCTGCTTAAAACCTCAACAACCAGATTTTCAAGTTTTTCCTTTTTACAATATCAAAATGGTGAAGAAAATGAAGCTTCTCTCTTTTTTCAAAAACAAAGATAAAAAATCATCTTCACCAAGGGCTTGTCTACAATGTAGCTACAAACCAAAAACCCTATCTTTCAGAGAAAACCAACATATTCCAGAAACTTCTGAATGCATAGCACCAGAATTTTCTTCTGAGGATTTTAGTAGTATTTCAGTTGAAACTATGAATATTGATGGTTTAAGTCCGGGTCGATTTTTCTTCGATCGGGACGAAACAAGATCAATATTTAAGGCGAAAGAAAACATTAATGCATGTGATGGATTAATAACTAGGGCTAGCAGGAATGATGATAATAATAATAATGAAAGTTTGTCATTACCATTTGAAAACACGGTTGAGTTAGCGATGGATTCGCAAAACCCTATAGAAGATTTCAAAGAATCTGTTGTGGAGATGGTGGAGGCTCATGGTGTTAACGATTGGGAAAGCTTGGAGAAGCTTTTGAGTTGGTATTTGGAAGTTAATGAGGAAAGAAATCATGAGTTTGTTATCGATGCTTTTTTTGATTTATTTGTTAATAATCATGATTCATCTGATTCTTCATCTTTCTCGATTCATAGTTCTTCTTCTTTTGATTCTTCTTGGAGCACAGCTCGTGTTTCATGTTATAGTTCACCTTTGTAATTGTGATTCTAATTGTTGCCATTTTTGTTATTGTCGCTGTTGTGAGATTATGATTTTAATTTGAGTTTTAAGATTCTAAACATTTGATTTATGATTAAAAGATTAACAGAATAAACTTAGATTAATCATCTTACGATGTTGTTAATGCCGTCACAGTCTTGATGCGATTAAATCATGACAGTTGCAGCCTGTTGCAATAGTGGAAATTACCCATCCCATATTGACAGTAATTTAAACCCACGATGTTATGCATTTAAATGTGTGTGGAAAAGGGCACACTCACTATTTATTTTTATAATTCTAAATACTATAACAAATAATAGATTTTTTAACTTAGTTTTCACCTCATCCAATAACCAATCGATATGTAATCTATAGGCATGTCACTTTTAAAGAAATCCTTAGGAGACATGCTTTCAATTCTTAACAGGTATTTTATTTTATTTTTTTAAATATCACTACAAGAAATACTCTAATTTACCAGGAGATATAGCTAGGGATAAAACCTCTAATAAAAAATAATGTTGTTTAGAGTAAAGTCCCTCGCAAAGTTTAAATTTCAGAGAAAAAAATTACATGGAGTTATCCCTCGCAAAAAAGAAAGAGGAAAAATTTATGAATTTTGAAAAAACACATTGCGAGGAGTAACCTCTGACAAACGAAAGTGGCGCCAATGTGTCATTTCAATGGTTAGGCGAATCAGCATTTTGCGAGGGGTGTCCCCAAGCAAACTGATAAAGTAATATTTGTGAGGGGTACACCCACGCGTAGGAGACAGTGGTAACAGTGCGCAGACTGCGCGTGCAGGGTGCATTTCTCAAGTTTGTAATTTGTGAGGGGCTTTCCCATGCCTTATTTGATTGTTACATTTACAAGGGGAGCCTTGTCGTCCTAAATGTTATTCATTAATAGCACGCCACCCATCCCACCGCTCTCAGTAATGTGTTTTAAATTTTTAACCTTTCTTCTTCTCAATTCCAACCCTTCCGGTGTTCAATTTCAAACTTTTTCCTCTTCTTTCTCTCATCAACAACCAAATTCATTCTATTTTTACAACTCTAACACAATATAATTTCAGATAAATTTTATAATTATTCAATATTGTATTTCTATTATCTTCAGATTTATTTTATAAATTAATTTCTATTTTTATTTTTCTGTTTCATGTACCAATTGGGTCATCTAAAAGAGTAAGAATTTGGAGCAAACATTTAAGAGTTACTGTTATTTATTCATAATTTCAAGTACACTATATATGAATTTTCGAATTTTTTATTTATGTAGTATATATGTGCAATTTGTAGATTTATGTTGTGTATATAGTATATATTTCTTTATTTTAAAAACAGTATTATATATACTCTATAAAATATATATATTTATAAGAAAAATAATATATTTATAAAAAAAAGAAGTATATTTATAAAAAAACAGTAAATAAAACAGAAGTATCTACCATATAAGAAAAATTGGGGATCTAGCTTATACTTTACTACCCATTGGCCTCTAAATTCCACGTTAACACAATTGGGAAAATAATGGTCATTTCGCACCCTTATCGTACCTTCCTGACCAAAGTTTTTTGACAAATTAAATACTTTATTCTCCAATAAATACCTTTGCTCTCATCTCTAAAAAATCCTATATATCTTCTATCTTCTTCATAACCAGGAGACTTAGTAACACCACTTCTGCTTTTTCTCTAGTTGTATCTGACCTTCTCTTTCTTGAACGAATAACTTTGTGTAGATTTTTCAATCTGTCTAATCTTAAACTTTGCATCGGTAACTCACTATTTTCTCTTCTCATACACTGGTCATCTCATTCAAAAGAACTTCCTCTATTAACTCATTATTTCCTCTTCTCACACCCAGGTTTCAGACGCTTCACAAATCTTCATCTGTAACCACCGGGATGACCAGACATTTCAAGATGATAAGCGACATCAGTGACCCCAATTCCCTCATAAAGAATGCATTCACTTGGTTCACAGTACTTCCCCCACAGTCGGTCTAAACATGGACTAAGTTAGAAAAGTTGTTCCATGAACAGTTCTACGTGGGGCAGTCTAAGATAAGCCTAACAGAATTGTCAAGTGTCAAGCGAAGAAATTGTCGCAAATGGGTTAGAGTATTCCATTAGGAAGAAATTATTGGACACCCAATCTTTGAAAGATATGGCTCAATTAGCTATCAAAGTTTGACTGATCGAACTTCTGAAAGCTGAAAAAACCAAGCCAAACAAATATCACAAAAAATGGAAAGTTGCTTATGACACAACTGACGAATGTTCTTCTGATGAAAATGAGTTAGTGTAAGAAACAGAAGTAACATGGCTAAACTCCAACCTGGACCTCCCTATGCGTGCAAATTATTGAAATCGTCGAACAAGATTAACCCCGTCGAAATTAAAAAGAATAGAAAAGCCATTACTAAGACCCATACTTTCGACATCACTAAATATGAAGAAATATTTGATTTATTAGTAGCTAATTGGTCAAATTGTGGTTCCTTAGGGCCTAAAGAATCCCCCGTTTGAACAAAATAAAAAGGGGGGTTCTGAAATTTAAAAATTTTCTTGGTCAAAAAACTTCTCAATGTGTTCTTTTCAGGGATTTGGTGCAGAAAGCTCTAAAAGATGGAAGACTTTAATTTGGTGAGAAGCCAAAGATGCAAGTTGATACTGATCCTTGAAGGTCGAATAGGCTTTATACTCAGAGCCTTTAGATTGCATGATGGGCGAAGCTACTGAGGGCCTCGACATAGAGGTTATAATGATTAGTGACATAAAAGTAATGATGGTTGGAACCAATGAAAGTTACGACCTAAAAAAGGAAGATGGATTGCATGAAGTATACCCTCAACGTGAAGAAAGCTTGGCTGTTTTCCAAGAGAAATGCATAGTGAAAGGGTCAAATGCAAAATTATGCCCAAGATGCAACGCTGTGTTTGATGAAGAAGTAGCTGAGAAGTATGAAGCTCTAAAAAAAGAGGCTCTTAAGCAAGAGAAGCCTCTAGTCTCAAGGTTTATTTTCGACAAGCAAGGAAATCCTCGACGCAACGAGGAGTACAGAAAATTGTTCCAACAGTCTCGTCCAAGAACCTTTCGCCCTCCATCATATATTCCACAAGAAAAATGGGTGGAATCGGTGAGCCAAAAGGTGGGCAAGTGGCCAAAGGGGAAAGTGATTGTGCATGAAGCTGAAGCCTAGGTGAAGAGAGCTGAGTCAAAGGGTTATCAAGTTTCCCCCAATGACAAGGGAAAAACCAATGACAAAGACTCAGTGGAGGCAATATCAGAGGAACAAAAATGCGGTAGAGAAGCTTCGACGTCTCAGGTGAAGCCAGTCGAAGACAATAGTCGTGTCGAAGACATGTTACAATCAGAAGCCACAAAGCCAATAGAGTTCCCAATTCCAAAGGTGTGATATCCCAAGTCGAAGCTGACTGAAAAAGAAAATCCATAGCAAATCAAAAATGGCTATGAGGGTGGCTCCTTTAGGAAATACATAATTGGTAGCAACAAAAAATATGGAGTACACTCCTATGCATGAGTATACTCCAACATCTGAAGGAGAAAAGGAGGAAGAACCTGAGTATGAGCCTTCGCCGGAAGATGAAATGGTGGATGACGACTATGATTATGATGAAGATTTCATCAATAATAGTGTAATTATGTCGATTCTGCCTGCTGAATACGTCATGGTGTCAGAGGTATCAAAGAATGAGGATGATTCTACCTCCGATGAAGCGGCTGATGAAAAGCCTCTATGCTACTATGTGATTAATAGTGGTGTGGTCGAAGAGCAGAGGCCTGTATTTGAAAATCCAAGCCCAAGGATGTTATATCATCTCAAGCCTTTATTCATAAGGGTGAAGGTGGATGGAATGTCAGTGAACAAGGTCTTTATTGATGGTGGGGCAGTTGTAAATTTAATGCCACATGCTTTGTTTAATAAAATGGGGAAGTGTGGGTTAGAGCTTCGACCTCACAACATGTTGTTGTCAAACTATAAAGGAAAGACCAGTAGCATACTGAGCATCATCAAAGTCGAATTGGTTGTTGGAACAACAACCAGGTCAACATTGTTTATGATGATAAATTACATGGTCAACTTTAACTTGTTGCTTGGCCGTGAATGGATTCACGGAATAGGTCCAGTCCCGTCGACTATGCACCAAATGATTTCCATTTAGAGAAAAGACAGAGTAGTAGAAAACATAGAATCTGATCAGAGCTACTAAAAAGTCGACAATTTGAAAGGCTGAAAGAAGTCTTTCGACCAACATTTGGCTAATGTAGCGCCTTGTGATGATGAGAGTCACACTTCCAATGAAAATGCAAATAATTTTCTAACTTTGGATCTTGACCATGGTTTCATGTGAGATTCTGAAAAGGCAACAGGATTTAGGGAGTCGATTCCACCTACGGGGTGGTCTATATTCGAACATGATGACTAGTGAGTCAGCAATTTTGGCTCGGATTTCAGCTTATGTAGTTGAAAATAAATGGAAGTAGGCTTTAAAAGTTGAGAAATTGAAAAATATGGTCGTCGAAGCAAAGATTGAAAATCAAGAAGGCCAACCAGGCCAAAAAAAAATTTAGAAAGCTGGAACATAGATTGTATATACGACAATGAACCTTTATCGTTTGAAAAAGACATACTAAATCCAATACTTAAAATGCAAGCACAAGTCTGTTAGAAGAAGTGGATGTGGAAGACGACGCAACCAAGAGACCAACGTACATTAGCACTAAAGTTGAGCCAAAGATGAAAGTTAAGTTAATCAAACTACTAAAGGAGTATAGAGATTGCTTCGCCTGGGACTATGGCGGAATGTAGGGTTTAATTCGAATAGTCGTGGAACATCGACTGCCTATTCATCCAGGTAAAAGGCCAGTGAAGCAACATCCTAGGGGATTTTCTCTTGAAATAACTTTGAAGATCAAACAAGAAATAGAGAGGTTACTCAAGAGTAAGTTCATTATAACTGCAAGGT